TTATTAGATTCCATATAGTTTTAGCTTCATTCTACATATTTTAATTCTGAAATCGTTTCAGTACTTTTCAAGATATGCTTTAAAACTTGAACATACTTTTTTCAAGTATAATTCGGTGTATAATGTAGATTTTTGAAATCACATTCTGAACAACTTTTGAATAACTGTTTCATAAACTTATCATTATTAAATTCCATATAGTTTTAGCTTTATTGTGCATATTTTATTTTTAAAAACGTTTCAGTAGTTTTGAAGTTATGCTTCAAAACTTGAACATGCTTTTTCAAGTATAACGGAGTTTTTATAAATCATATTCTGAACAAGTTTTCAATAACTGTTTTATAAACTTATCATTATTGGATTCCATATAGTTTTAGCTTCATTCTACATATTTTATTTCTAAATTCGTTACAGTAGTTTTGAAGTTATGATTCAAAACGTGAACATGCTTTTGCAAAATATCATTTTGAGCGAATTCTTAGAAAGCATATTGTAAATAACCTTGCAATAACTGTTTTATAAACTTATCGTTATTACATTCCACACAGTTTGAGCTACATTTTGCATACTTAATGTCAGTAAACGTTTCTATAGTTTTCGCGAAATAATTCAAATAATAAATATACGTTTTATAAACGAAAGTCTTGTGACATTGGACTTCATTTGTTAAGTAATTTAATAAAATTTGTTTCCGGTATTTCATGGATTTCCTATATTTTTTTTCAACTCAAACATTTCAAGGCGATTTTGAAAAAAAAATCACTTGATTTACATGAATTTCTTTACATTTAAATAAGTAGTTGATGATGAATGTGACCATGACCAACGGAATTGTGCAGATCGATGCACTTGACCCAAATCTAGTAGACAAGAATGGAAAAGAAAAGCGAAACGAAACAAAACACGATTGATATAAACAAAATTTCAGGCTGCCAAACCGCCGAGACCTTGGAAAGGTGTGTACGATGCCACCGAGGACAGGGCAAGTTGCATCCAAATACCAGAATCCGAGTCCGGAGCTCCAGAATCCGAGGATTGCCTCTACATCAACGTTTACACGCCGAAGGTGAGCAAACAAACAAAAAAAATATATTATGAATCATCGCTCGTTGATGACACTTGTTACAATTAGACATAGTTGAAAACCTTGACACAAGCAATTACATTTGGTTGTGCTCTTTTAGCGTATCGTGTAAATCACAAGTAACTTGTCAAGTATTGTTTAGCGAAGATGTGGTGATGACAACCATAGCTTGTTATATTACTAAAAATAATTGTAAATGTATGATTTTCTTACATTATCAAGTAATTGTACAATTATGATAAACTTGTAAACTTCATAATCTTTTGACACTTAACAAATGTACTTTATATGTTACTTGGCAAGTATTGTGTAGTTTATATTCGTTACTATCATAGCTTCAAATATGATGTACTTGTCCAATTAGGACAAGTTATTTTGCAAGTATCTATTTATCACGTATCAAATTATTGTTTTGATAATGTTAGATATTGAAATATTTTTCAGTTACTTGAGTCAGGAAATGAGACTCTGCTTCCGGTGATGTTCTGGATCCACGGCGGAGCGCAGATGAACGGCGATTCGACGTACAACTATTTCGGACCGGACTACTTCATGGAGGACGACGTCGTCATCGTGTCGTTAAATTTCCGCATCGGCGTATTCGGTAATGGTCCACACGCATTACGAATATCTCTTCTGGTGCGTGTTGTAACGAATCTTTTGTCTGCGTGTTCAAGGTTTCCTCAGCACCGGCGACTCCGTGTGTCCAGGCAACAACGGGCTCAAGGACATCGTGCTGGGAATGAGGTGGACGCAGGACAACATTCGCTTCTTCGGCGGAGATCCCAAGAGGGTCACACTGTTCGGGGAAAGCGCCGGTGGCGCGATGGCCATGTACTTGGCCCAATCCCCATTGACGCGAGGAAAAGGTTACTTCAGTAAGGTCATCGCCCAGAGCGGGAACACTCTGTGTCCGTGGTCCTTCCAGAGGAATCCGAGGGACGTGGCCAATAGGATCGCTATGGCGACCTTCTGCGGTCTCTTCATGTTCGACAGCTCGCTCATGATGAATTGCCTGAAGACGGTGGACGTTAACGTGCTGAAAATAGCAGGACTCGGCGTCTTCTTAGGAGTAAGTAACCATAAAGAAAACAAAAATCATAAACTATTTATTACTTTAGGATTCAGGTTTCCTCATCGGCATCCTCAATGGTTTAGCCTTCGCCCCCAACATCGAACCTTACAGCCCAACGGCAGCAGTTACAGAAAAAAGCTACGAACTACTATCGCGCGGAGACATCCCCAACATCCCTTACATCATGGGCTACAATTCCGAAGAAGCTTTGATCGTCGCCGACAGTAAATCGCACACACCATAATCAACCAAACACTAAAATCTTGAAAATTCTAGATTTGACACTGCTTAGACCTCTTTTACTGCAAGCCGATGCCGCTCCTGCGATCCTTGTACCTACAGACATGCACGCAAGCTTCTTCGATTCGGTCCTCAACATCGCCACGCAAATCCGCAACTTTTACTTCGACTTTGCACCGATCACCCTCAACTCCAACGCTAAGATCATAAGGGTAAGACAACTTTTAAACCACAAATCCTCAACTCTTTACTCTCATTTTTTTCAGTACTTGAGCGATCACCTATTCGATCGACCGACGAGGGAAAGTGTTTCGTTGATTTCGAAACGCGCTCCGGTTTACTATTACAGGTTTTCCTATTTTGGAAAATTGGGACTCTTCGCTTCTTCTATCGAAGGTAATTTCAACATTTTCATACCACATTTTATATAACTTAATCTGTTCGTAGGTTTGGGAAAAGTTCAGCACAGCGCCGAGTTAACTTACATGTGGAGGACGAATACGAAGAGCTTTAACAACACGGACCTTAGTTCCTTCCCCAAAATGGATAAACTGGTGCGCGCGAGACTCTTGAAGCTTTGGACAAACTTTGCCAGAACCGGGTAAGTTTTAAATAACGTAATTAAATTAAATGCTAAAATGCGATTTGCAGTAATCCAACGCCATACGAAGACGTCCTGTTGGAGAACAAGATATGGCCCGAAGCTGCAATCAAGGATAGTCAAGATGTATATTGCATGGACATTGGGGAGCACCTGAAGGTTGTCAAGAACCCAGAGAACAGCCAATACCAGATGTGGAAAGGCCTGTACAAGAGATACGGAAAACCGAGCGATACCTATTGATACGAAAACTTTAGTTACCATTAATTATAGAAGCAAAATCCAAAACTAAATTTATCACATATACACACACCTTGTTACCTGTAATATTAGTAGTAGTTTAGAAGTAACTTTGTACATTATAAAAGACAATTTGTATATATTGTAGAAAGAAATAAAATTTATTTTTTTAAATTATTTGAAAACCTGTACATTGTGCTGCATACACTACATAAATCATGAAATGAATTTTATTTTCCAATCAGTATCAGAAAATTTCAAAGGAATCAATTTCAATTAAACATTTGAATATTACATAACTTTTAATAGTTTTCAAATTATACAACCAAATATACAGATGTTGTTGTTGATAGTTCAAATGTTTTGGCGCTGTTTACACAAACAAAATGTGTTATTTGAATAAGTATATTTGTTTGTATTTCAATTTAATTTCTACATTAGTTATAATCGTGTATATGCAAATTTGTGCATTTAAATACTTGATAACTAAAAGATCTCAAGCAGTACTTTAAAAATTAGCATGCGTTTGCACTTTTTGTCAAGGCTGATCTTTTGTTGGAAACGCAAAGATAGTTTCTTAGTTTGTTTATGCTAGCAGAAAGCAAACAGCAAAAAAAAGAGACAAATGGATTCTTGATCAACACATGATTTTGTAAGTTTTAAAGCTTTTACTTATATTGAAAATTACAGCAATGGTGAGTTAACTGTGTTAAATGTAAATTTAAAATTAACGAATTCTTTTGTGACAGAGGGAAGAGGAATGCAAGATGTTGATTCGTGCTATAGTAACGTCCATACCACATGCCATTGATATCAGGGTTATGGCTAAGGAGTTTTTTGATACCATCGGACATGAAATACCATATAAGCAGTTTGGGTTTAAATCATTGGAGCTCTATTTGAAATCTATTCCGGATGTTGTTTCAGTGGGTGCAATATGAATATAGTTTGATTCTGAATAAAAAGTTTTTCTTTTGTATTGCAGGTGCATGGGACAGGCAGTTTTGCAACAGTATCAGTGGTGTGTGTGGAAAAGACTGCTCACATCCGAGAAATGGTGCTGAAGCAGAAGCAGGGAAAGAGAAAACCATTTAGGAATAACAACAACCACACATAGTAAATAACAATTTAAAGTTCTAATGTTATATATAGAGTTTATTTGATTTTTTTAGTATCAATAGGAATAATGGGTTCCGTGCAAAACCAAATTTTAGGATTCAGACAAACCATTATAAACCTATACAAAGCAAGTATGAGACTCAGGTTGTGCAGAATGATACTGCAGAGGTGAGAAAGGAAGAGGAAAGTGATTGCAAAGAGGTATCTGATGGTGTGGAAGATGAGGTGGTGGTGGTGAAGCAGAACGTCGAAAAGAATGTGAAGATATTTATAGAATCTGTTAAGATTAATTACAACGTGCCGAACGACGTGCAGCTGAAACTGAAGATGTTGATCGACTCGTATCCGAATGGAATGTGGTGCTCGAATCTGCCGATCTTCTATCGGGACAAATTCAAGGATAACCTGCAGTACGCCAAATACGGGTACATTTCGATAATACACATGTGCAGTTCGTTACCCGCTATTTTCAAGTACCAGCAGGTTAACCAAGGCGACTACCGTTTGTATAATATCAATGCGAATATCGTGGAGGCTTCGGAAACTGAATTGCTGAAGCAGATCGAAGATTTTAATACGATCTACGAAGAAGACGTTCTCTCTCCGCACGTCTCGGATGTAAGATATTTGCATTGCTTTTTCAACCTCTTATAATGCTTTAGAAACTAACTTTTCCTAAGTTTTTAAATGAAAAGCTGCTCGAAATAATTGAACTGGGCTCGGAGATTGAGGAGCTGAAGCTGAAGCTGCCGTACAGCGAGGACGACTACATGGACATCATCTTAACTGAGATCTTCGATCCGAGTAAGTTCTGGTTCAGCCTGATGGAGAACGAGGAGCAGATCAACAACTTAGTGTACGGTCTGAACGAGTTCTGCAAGACCCATCTGGACAAGTACCTGGTACGTGAGGAGGACTACAAAGTAGGACTGTACTGCGCGGTCAAGTTCCAGAACATCTTTCATCGGGCGAAGATTATTAGCGTAACATCAGTAAACGATTCGGTTCAGGTATATACTGGAAGACAGGATTAGTTTTTTTTTTATTTTTCTAATTGTTTTACCGTCGAAGGTCTTCTACATTGATTACGGCACGTTCCTGTGGTTACCCAAAGAGCAGATCTGCTATCTGCACAAGAGTTTTGCGAAAATGCCGGCGCAGGCTTTGAGAGGTTGCCTTGCCAACATACAGCCTTTGAACAGGAACACGCGATGGGACAGCAAAGCCACGCAGAACTTCATACAGCTCGCCGTCAATCGGAGATTGGTAGCGAACATCCAAAGAGTTCAGGTCCGTATATTCAAAGCAAGCAATCATTGGTATAACAATTCTTTTATTTGTTATTATCCAGGATGGATATTACGAGTTGATCATCGCGGACACGAACGGACCGAAAGACATTTATATTAACGACAGTTTAGTGCTGAACGGTCACGGGCTGTTCAATCATCAGGTAAAGCCACAGTTAAAGTCTCACCGAGAAATAATTGAGTTAATAAGAACAATGATTATATAAATAGTGTGTATGCGAAAAGGTAACGAACTGAAAGCGAGATGGAATCGTGTTACATTCACATTTCTGATCGCAGGAACAAATTGAGATCGCGCTCCACGAGGACAACGTGCCAAACGTATCGGACATCCATCTGTATCCGACGTTCGAGGATCTCGAGTCCGGACAGATGCCCAACTTCATGGAGCTGTGCACTATCTTGAACGTAGGTGTTCCCTACAATTCCATTTTTCCTAAGTATTTCGAGGCTCGCTGCGCGAAACTCGACCTCGTCCAACAATTCAAAGATTTCCTCATTAAGAAATGACGTAAATAATTATAGACTACTTTTTTTTTATCTCTTGATTCGTATAGAGTTTGTTTTGTTTTATTAATTATTTGTAAATGCCTTTTTATAAATTGAACGTTTTCGTTGATATCGCTCATCTGTTTATTCGCACCTTTACACAAAATTTACATTAATTAATAATAACTTATCAAATCATTTTCAAGCAATTCCTATTTAATTCTTAAATAAATCTGCAAATTTCTATAAAGTGAGAATCAAATCATACAATTTAAAGTTATAATGCATGAAGATGTTAATTTTAAAGCACTTTATAACTAAAACAATCTAATTTAAGTAGGCTGTAAAGATTTCTCATGATCCAATTGGTTCAAATTTCAAACAAAATTGTTGCTTCTTGTGGATATTTGGTTGCCTACGTCGAAAAGTACGCTTATCGATCTGTCAGATTTTTGTTTAGGGTAAACCACTGAATGGCATTTGGACTGTTTTAACCTAAACGTTTATTATCCCTTGGATTTCGCAGAGAAATAAATGTTTTTTGAGCGTCGTCCGAGATGGCAAACGACAGGGAAATCTTGAGGGAGATTTGGGAAGGTAAAATACCGGTTCGATTTACCCTGTATCCGGACGAGGTGTACGAACTGCAGCAACCAGATGAGTTCTACTTGATGGTGCCCAGACTGAGCTATTTTCCATTAGTTATCGATAAGGTACGATAGCAAAAAAAAAACTTAATTTACGTAGATGAATGTGTATTAATTGTAATTTGTTGCTGTTTTCACAGGTCAAAAAGCATTTCATTAGGTATGTGAGCAATGATAAGAATGATCAGGAGATGTGGCTGGAGTATGATGGGCAACCAGTCAAGTGGCACTTCCCCATTGGTCTTCTCTTCGATCTCCTGGTTGGTACAGGTCCAGATTTAGGGTTGCCCTGGCACATTGTTGTACACTTTGAGAAATTCCCAGAGACACAAATCTTTCGTCTCAACAGCAAGTAATGTTACTTTCTATATTATTAATCTTTATCTGATTCACATTTTTTTGTTTGCAGAGATCTGGTGGAGGCACATTTCATGGCTTGCCTGAAAGAAGCTGATGTTCTCAAGCATAGAGGCCAAATAGTCAGTAGCATGCAGAAGAAGGATCACAATCAGTTGTGGTCAGGGTTGCAGAATGGTAATTATTTGATGCAAATCTAATGGAAATGTAATTGGATTTCTTTTGGTTTTGTAGATAAGTTTGATCAGTTCTGGGCTGTGAACAGGAAGCTGATGGAGGTGTCAGGTGAAGTTGATCATTTTAAATACATTCCATTCAGGTAAATATTGCTTTAAATTTCTATATGATTTGTACACTGTTTACTTAGTAATTAGTCTTATTAGCATAAGTATTTCTGTAAACATGTGATTACGGAATTCTTGCTACTATGATTTAAAGACGAAAACTATCTATACTCATTACATGGTAGTTTAGAACTACTAAAATATTAGTTGATATCATGATGAATACTAATAATATTGATTGTTTTCCATCGATTATTTACTTAGTACATAATATTAATACAAGTAATTTGTTAAACATCTACGTTTTAGCCAATAATCCTCTTCTATTTTAGAATATACGATATAGAAGGTTTCTATAAGCAGAAGCTTGTGAAACCTGTATCTGATGAGGGCCAAAGGAAAACGCTAAACGACTTGCTGATGGAAATGTATCCGAAGAGGGCGACGTCGGTCAAAGTTCTCACGCACGGCATGTTCCCGCCCCTGAACACGCCCCTCCAATGGATGTCCGAACATCTCAGCTATCCCGACAACTTTCTTCATCTGTGTCTAGTCTGAGTCTCAAAATCTCTATCCGAAGGAACACGAATGCGACTTTTGTTTTAAATGGATTTTAAACGTTGAGCTTAAAGTATTAAGTGTAAAAATTCTCCTACATACTAAGGTGTCCACTATTATTGTTATTTTTATTTTTTGTTATTATTTTTCGATTTTAACCCGAACAAATTTTGAAGAATAAGACCGGCAACGCCATCTGTTTTTGTTTTTTTTTATATATATATTGTATTGATGATATTTGATTTAATAATTAAGGGATACTCATGATCTGTGAACATATATAAACGCACTGCATAGATTTTATTCTTTAGTCAAGTACAAATATCAACTGGACCACCTTTATTTTTTTGTTGCTGTTTTAATATATTTTCTAAATTCTATTCTTTCCCGTACTTAAATTACTTTAAATGCTTCAAATATTGTACAAAACTCATCTTAAATGATTGTAACAACTTTTTTTTTAAGTGCTTTAAATAACATTACGTTATAAGTAATGAATGTAGTTTTATTCATATACAAATTCCTAACTTTCCGATTATTAATATTCATTTATTAATTCATGTTTTAGTAA